TTTTTCTCGTGAGGTAGTTGAATACTGTAGATTATTTTTTTCGGAATATAAAAATGCCAAATAAAGAGAAGAAAAATAAATGAAAAGGAACTCAGAGAAGACGCAAAATGATGCAGGACGCATCGGAAAATTAATGATAACAATTTGATCTTTAGATAAAGAGCTACTTATTTTTTTATGTAAATATTAAGTAAGTTAAATTACCTTTAGTATTGAAAGCGTAGTTTAAGTATTAGTTATTGAGAAAAACGATGAAGAAAAACTAAGTTAAAGAAATATATTAAAATATAAAATTGAAAGGAAAACGATGAAGAAAAACTAAGTTAAAGAAATATATTAAAATATAAAATTGAAAGGAAAACGATGAAGAAAACTAAGTTAAAGAAATATATTAAAACATAAAATTGTAAGGAAAACGTTAAGAATTAAACGCATACAAAATTTTACTATAAGTAATTATATGTTCCCTATATCATTGTTTATTTTTCAATACAGTATATACATTTATAACTTTATTTTTTTTTAAATTAAAAGTGGGACGATCCCACGAAAAAGAAAAAAAAAACCCTTTTTTTTTTTAATTCTTTAATCTGAAATGCTCACAGGCCCGTATTCAGGAGTTCCACAGTCCAATAGGCTGGTGGTATATTGAGTGAATATAGTCTGGTGTTGCCCAAAAACTACGTTTACAATTGGGCCTATTTTGGTATTGAACTTAATGCACTAGAACGTGAAAACGTAAATTTTTCCCCTTTTGCGGCCCCCTAGCCCCAGCCTAGTTGCTCGCTTCACTCACATATAACGCACCCCTCGAATTCTGAAAGCTTCGCTAAATTGCTCCGAGTTCAGCTTGCCCCCTGCGCTTTCGTTTCGACTCCCCTTAGATTTTTCACCGTACGCCCCTGAACACGTACTAAAAAACACTTTGGCTATTGAGAAATGCACAGCTACCATGTTCTCCGGCGCACCCTTAAATCACCCAAATTGGCCATAAATTAATGGCACCACACGAGCAAAATCAGGAAAGTTTGTAGGTCTATAGTATGGCCTTTACCAGAAAAAAAAACTCTGCTCAGGCAAGACCTAGCCTAGCCTAGGTAGCTTAGGCGGCCTTTAGTTAGTGCCGTGGGGAAGCTAGGCTACGCCTAGAAAAAATAAGGCTGGTACTACTAACTTGGCGCTTAGGCCTAGGTCTACCTGAAAATAAATAACAAAAAGACTAACCTTTATTCAATCTATTGTATTATCACTTATCTTATTATACAGCAAAAGAATAGCATCTAATTTAGCCTTTTATTTACTTCTTTTTATTATCACTTCCTAACATGCGTACGTCTAAACACCAGTGGTGGAATAATGCAAACCCAATATTGAGAATAGACCAATCAGAGCTGGGATCGAGGTCTTATCATGCACTCGGGTGACAACCAAGCTGAGTGTCAAACTCTCTCTAATAACAACAATATAACAATATGTTAATAATAATAATAATAACAATTTTTAAAGCATTTTTGTTCAGATATAAAGATTTAATAGGCCTATACAGTATTAAAATAAAATTAAATAACAAGAGAAAGGGAAGCTCTACTTTGTATAAATTTATTCAAATGGCAAAAACTATCAGTAGAGTACTCTTTTGACAAAAAAGCAATATAAAAGTACCATTTAAAATACTGTAGTATTTTCTTTGTAAAATACTACTTAAAGAAAAACCATTATAAAACAACAATGTGAATAAATGAATGATTACTTCAAAAGTAGCCTCTATGTTAGCGATATTATTCAGGTCAATATTTTTTGGCAACAACATAATTATATGAATTAATCCATTCATTGATTGAATTAAAAACAATAAAGCAGCAATTCAATTCACAATCTTCTATTGAAGATGAGGGAAAATAGCAGCTTGAACCGTGCTAAAGCTATAGGCAGGAATCTCCAGCACTCCAGCAAGGAAACATGTTTTACTACTTTAATATCAATTGTCTCACAAAATCAGTGGTGATGGGTATACAAAATAAAATATATGTTAAACTCATTTAAACAGATTCGTGTCCCACTAGGTATTTCTTCCAAAATACAGTAGCAGTAGATTAACTTACTATTCATGATACCAAATTCCTCCCTCATTCGTATACTTCAAATTATATTAATCAAAAGAAAAGTCACCTTTAAATAAAGTTCTTAGAAACAAATCTAGAAATCATTCAATATATAAATAGTTATTGTAGTTGAAGGACAGTGAAGACATACAATTTTATGTGGGCAGTATGTTGAAACAGAAAACCAACCATTAACATGTATTATTACAGGTCTCCATCTAATTAAAGATCCCTCCAATTGAAGACCACTTTTCTGTGGTACCATAAGAAATGTCTATTATTTGAGAGCAAAGCGGCTAAAGACCATGGAAATTAAAAGTGGTCTTTTAATTGGAAGAAGACATTTACCTATTAAGTTTATAAATCTGACAAACGTAAGTAAATTAACAGTAGACTCTTATGTATATAAAACTAAAGGCACATTTCTCAAAGACAATGTTAGTGTTTTACTTTTTAAGTTTACCATGCTGGATGTGCAACAATAAGCCCCCATTCAACCCCCTCCCCCTCCATTTTAAGACTACTAGATATGCCACTGGGCTGAAGTGATCTAGACCATCCATCTGCAATAAGTCTATCCCTTGGGCGCTCTGTTTTTCCTTTTTTCTGATTAATAGACATGCAGTGCTGCAAATGAAATCAAATGAATGTTAAATGAATGAGTATGTAGTATTATGCACATAAAGTGAAAATAACAGAACATAAAGCCTAAACCACTTGCTTGGGGTAGGGATGAGTGCTGATGGAATTAGTTTTATAGAATAGGGATTTAGCCATGCATTCTCCAATTTTTTGTAAACCTTGTGAAGACTTAGTTTATCACAACTGAACCCCGAGCGAGGAGAAACTCAATCCAGTGTCGGTGCACAGGTTGTAGTTTGCAACGCCGCTGCCTTACTGCTCTTCATGTTTCTTCATTCTTGGTCCCCCACCCCCAACTTTTCTCCATATACTACCAATAATTTCTTCCTGTTCTGTCCCACTTAATTACTGCAAACAGATATTAACAAAACAAAAAAGCCTGTACACAATCTTGCTATACGGTATTATTTATTTTCAATTCAAATCTTTTGATACACTTTTGAAGTGAAATGCGCAAAACATAACACACAACAGTTGGCTGTTGTCCCAATAAAGATACAAATATCAATACAACTAAGTGTAATGAAGACATTACCAACATCCTTAATTATACTAATGATTCTATATAAAACAAAAAGAAACCACAATAATATTCTTCATTTAGAGAATGTGCTTTATTTGATAATTCAGACCATAGATAAACCAATAATGTCTGGGGTTATCAATACACTAGTATTACATGCAAAGATGCACCAAAAAACAATCATCATTATTCCTGCTCTAATTAGTTAGTTGGGAATGCTTAATTAAACTTTAGCGGTCATATTTTGAGGATTCATTTTCAACAGACGTGAATCAACATTCTCCATCACATATCAATGTTTAAAATTTAAGCAGTATGTTGAAGCAGAAACCAACCATTAACAAGTATTATTACAGGTCTCCCTCTAATTAAAGATTCCCCCATTGAAGACCACTTTTCTGTGGTACCATAAGAAATGTCTATTACAGGTACTGTATCTTTATTATTCTAGTTTGAGAGCCAAGCGGCTGAAGACCATTGAAATCAAAAGTGGTCTTTTAATTGGAGGTAGACATGTATATATTTATTTTAAATCTGTCAAGTATAAGTAAATTAACAGTAATTGACTCTTATGTATATAAAACTAAAGTTGCACTTCTCAAAGACAATGTTAGTGTTTTACATTTTAAATTTACCATGCTGGATGCGAAACAATAAACTCTGCAGTTAGTTCCTGACATAACCTAACCACAACATGAAGCAATGAAGCAAAAAATGAACGTAAAGTCCACTCAACCATGCATTGTTCTTTAATCTAAATGAATGGAACTATCTATTTAATCAAATGCGACCTATGTCAACCAATTAAGTAAGATTGTAAATAGAGTAGGTGTTGTATAAAACAAAGTACAGTTTGTTAATAACAATAAGATTTATAAAGTGCACATATCCATTGTCCACTGCAGTAGGAAGTAGTACAGTAGTTTAAATATAATTGAACCATAACATTATTTAACATTATTCAGTCGCATATCTTCCCAAAATGGAGTAATTCAATATCATAGCAACAATCTGTAAATAATGATGTATTAAATAATGGATTTAAAAGATCTAGATTTTATGAATATATGCATTCATTTTATGCAATATTATGTCTATATACACATACATTGCAGCATTCATATAGCACTACTTCATGTAGTGCATTTTAGTAGTAATTATATATGTTAAAACTGCAGCAATAAAATAAGAAAAATACAATTTTAAAAATTTGTTTAACCTCTGATCTTGAGAGACTATAAATAAATGGATTGAAGTTACAGTATGCATTTTTGTCTTTAGATTGAAGAACTCAACTTGGACCCTGTCAAAGACTGAATGCAATTTATTATGCATTTTATTGTCTATACCTCAAATTCTTATGTTAGACACATCAATAAATAGGTTGAAGTTGTGCATTTTATGTTTTTACATTTAACATCTCAACCTGTATTATGCAAACTTATGTTGTTTGCATTTCATCTCAATTTTTTTTATGGAAAATGTTTCCATTTCAAACCAATCTAATATTTGAGTTATTTACATACAAGATACAAGATTGATTTGTTGTCATTGTGCATGGCGCCATATCTTTTTCATTTCAAAGTTACAAATGTGTAAAGATATCTTTAATGCCATAAAATATTAAATGTACAGTATAATGTATTGCATTTATAATATCAAAGGTCAAAATTCCTTGAATCCAATTTAATCTAATCAAACCAAACCAAGTGCAATGTTATGTTATGTGTTCTTGTTGGTTTACTCAAAATGCATTTCACTATGAAATGAAATACAGACAATATTAAACTGATGTTACTTTGTGTTTGTCTTTACCCCTAAAGTGTACATAAGCATGTCTGGCTTGAAAATAAGTGCATTCAAAACCAAGGTGATTTGATTCTGCCAAATGTATGACCACTGACTTGAAAGGGGTCTAGATCATATTTACATCATAGCCTAGCTTTTAGTGGCAAACAAAATGGCTTGACTTTTCTTTTTGAAACTTATCCCTGGTTGTGAAATCAATATAGCTTGGGGGATGCATGTATACTTGACTATAAAATGATGATTATAAGTTTAATTTTTAAAACACATCCAAGTTCGGGTGGTCTTGAAGAGAACATCTAACCAGATCTAACTTGAAGGAGGAGGTGGAGGGGGTGCTGGTGTTCCAGGGAGAGGAGGGGGAGGTACCCCTGTCTGGGCAAACTGTGAAAAATCTATAGGTGGGGGTGGCTGAGAATAGGCCATGCTGGACATTGAAGATGGAGGTGGACCAGATGGCATTGGGGGCTGGATAGGTGGTGGTGGGATACCAGGCGGAGGTCCTGGCGGTGGCATGGTTATTGGCATCGGAGGCGGCATAGCATGCCAGGGGGGCATGCTTGCCATCATGCTCTGACGTGACTGCGGTGAAGCTGCTGGACTTGATGCTGATTGAGCCTGTGTCGTTGACCCAGAAGCTGATGATGCTGCTGAATAAACGAAAAAAAAAAAGACATTAACCAATCAATTATATCAATTTATAAAATGCATGCATTTATTCAAGTAACCAAACTTACCATACAAAAAAAATTAGCAAAGGCAACTAAGAAATCTTTAAAGGCCATGGCCATTTATTAAATATAATATTTAATATTTTAATTTTGCAATAAGGCGGAAGTGGCCTAACTAATGTAATATTCTCTTATAAATAAAATACAAACTATATCAATTTTTTTTTACATGCTATGAATGCTATAAAGAAAAATGCAATATCAAAAGAAAACTTCAAAATATATATATATACTTTTGAAAAAAAACATCCATAAGACCAGCTATAAATCATGCTGTAAGAATTTCTAATATCTGATTTTTTTTGCTATTTCATATATAAACTCAACCCAAACCCAATCAGAGACATTATGCAAAAACCAAAATTAAATTCAAAGATATTCATAACAGATTACGGCGGCAAGTTATATTTGATATCACAAGAAATACAGCAAGAGAAATCACTGAGGTATTAGCATTTATCACCACAAGCATCACAGATAAAGATATAAGTCAGTGGCAGATCCAGGAATTGGGAATAGAAGAGGCCCAGGGAGATGGTCTCTTTTCCAGATGGAAATTCCAGATTACGGCACCTCTAGATGACCACAAATGACATTTTCAAACTTAAATTTGAATATAACTTTTTTTTTTTTTCATAATGTGGAAACTCTTGGGAAGGGGTGTGCGAGAGGGACCGGCTGGCTACAACCCCCCTCCTCTTGGAATCTGCCACTGTAAGTCAAGCAATATACAATGAAAAGTGGATCCCTTGTAAATTTAATTTCAAAATTATTATTGATGTGCAGTTGAAAATATATTCCACAGAAGCCTAATAAATTTGAATAACAACATTACCTAGAGGGTAATCCCTCTTTACATTTAACATGCTACAAATACAGTCTCTGACATCCAATTAGAACATAGAAAAAGATATTTCCATGTTTTATGTGTGCATGTCATTTAAATTAAAACTCAAGTCACATAAACAAACCACAAGCATAGGAGCTACATTGATCTGATCTGAATTTCATTTCTATCGTTTTGTTTACTGATAATTTTGAAGAATGGATGCTGTATTCTGCTACTACACCATGTTTTGTAATCAGGTTTTTAAAAATAGGCATGTGATAATCATATGAAGGGTTTTTAGTTTTTAATGAGATTTGGCAATTGTGAAAACTCCAATATGGCTTACAGTACTGTTAATTAAATGCTACGAATTCAAATCAAATATTTGGTTGTTATTGTAATACATAAATTTTATCTTCAAATACATACTGTGTGTGTTGAATTGAAATAAACATGGGGTAAATCAATATTTGGATTTTTTACTTTGTATATTATGTTATTATATAGCTTTCAAATAAAAATTTGCATTCACCAAACACATGCATAAGCAATATTGTTTCTTTACTTCCTTTCTCTATGCATAAATTAGCTGGGGTAATCAATTGACATGTTCATTTTGAATGAGTGATTCTAGTTTTAATTGGAGGTTTAATGGTTCTTTCCACATTTCAAATGAGAGCAGATGGTTCATTAGTACATTTTGTACTATGCAAGCAAGATAATAGAGAACTTTCGTTGTCGCCATCGAGAACCCATCTGCCGAGAAAAGTGCATATAATTGTGTATGATGTCACCAGTTTTGGTCTTGTTTTAGTTTCTGGGACTCGCAACCCAAAATTCAGCCACTGGATCCCGGGTGATGAAGCAAGGACCAGATACTGAATGTATTTGCAACATTTCAATGAAATTTAATTATATTCTATATTAAATTATTATATAATACCTTTAGAAAATCATCATTCACAGAGGTTCACATAATCAATGTATTTCGTCCTAGGCTTGGCCCTAGCCATTCCGAACATTCAATTAGCCATCGTGCCACCACAGCCCAAGCATGTGCCACGGCCATAGCAATGGGCTGTCCTGCCACCGAGGGTTTGGTTCTAGGGGGAACGCGAAACGGGATAGCGAAAGCTCATTATTCTTTTTAACGAGAACAGGAAATTTTCTCGGCAGATTGGGTCTTGAGAGAGATAGCAAAAGCTCTCTATGGACTGGACTAACTATTCATACCAGAACTATTATAAGAATATTTCTCATTTTTATTATCATTATCATCGGATCCACCACCTCCTCAGCCGTTTAGAAAATACATGGTGCGGTACAATATTCTTCATAGCTCAAACATTAGTAACAGAGGCCGAAAAAGGACCAAAACAATAACATAAGAAAATCTTTACATTAATAATAATTTAATCCTCTACAATTGAGAGTGGATGATGGAAGAGCAAATTAATAACATATGTTATTGTAAGCAATTCTAACTTGTTCTTAGTTTGTCATACTCTTAAAAAAAAAAAAAAAATCAGTAAAATGTTACTGCAAATATACTGCACATAGTACAGTATATTATGGACTAGAATAACAGCAAATTGGGAATGCAGTACATTAGGGAGTGGGCTTGCACGGAATGGATACAGTGTACAAACGAATAGATTTGATTAGTACAAAACAATACAACCACGCCAGAAAAAAATGTATATAATATATTTATAATTTATTGCACAAGTTTTTTGATAGTGGTGCAATTCATTCATGTATTGACATTCATGCATTTACACATGTTGACAATTATACCTTGTAGCCACGGAGGTGCAGTGGACGATGGACTTGACGTGCCTGTTAAACCTGCATAAAACATAAAATGCTTTATACCAATCCTACAAGCAATCCTATTATAACAGATTCTTAAAAATGTTTGGTAATTTCATGAGTTTCATCAATATTTATTTAATAAAAGGCCATTTTATTTAGGGGATAAGGTAGATGAATAATAAATAACTTGCAGAGATATTGTGCTGAACTGTATATATTGTCTGTGACTACCTAGCCACCGTAAAGAGGCGTATATACTATTACATGTTCACATCAGTCTACAACAACTGAATGAAGTATATAGCATTGGAGTTAACCCACTATTCTTTCAAAAGAATATCCAAAAAGACTTGGCTCTACCAGCCGAACCTTGGGCTAGGAGCAGCTCAAGCTAGCACCGATGTTAGCGGTGCCCCTGCCTTACCACTTGGCCGACTTGGTAATCGGGTGATGTTCTATTCAGTTTCTACACTGCTAATACTTTTATATTGCAATTGCCTCAAAATTGCTTATTGCTTATAAATACATAATCCTACGGACATATGGGCTTTTTCATTAAGTATCTTAAAATCAATGTATGTGTAGGTCTTGTTAATGCCAGATCTGAGCTACTGCTAATTAGCTAATGCTAAGTACCCAGCGCATTGATTTAATAGCCGAAGTCAAGTCACGCTACGTTAACAGAAATGCAATATCTACTGCTTATGTTGAAGGGATGGATATGCATCCAAAAGCTACTTTAGATAGAATTTCTATACATATTTTAGTGGTGCTGAGTAAAACACAAGTTCCTGGCCATGTGTACATTCATTCCACTACGACTAGTAAATACTGTCTAATAATACCACCATTAACAACAAAAACTATGTAACATAATAAACCAGAATTACTCTTTTTACACTACGCATTAAAAGTATAGCCTCCCCGCGGTGCTATTTTTTAAAAAAAATCTTTAAATTCTCAAAATGTATAAAAACATAATAACAAAAAACTATAATATAATAAAAAATAATAATAAACAAATTTGTAATGCACTTGTCCCTACCCAAGGATGCCAAGGCAAAGTGTATAATATAAACCAGTAATTAACCAACTAAAAGAAAGACTAGTGTTTAGGGTATCAACGAAATAATGAAAGCTACTTAGATAAGATAAGTTACACATGATTCATGCCTCTTAAAGTTCAAATTTCTACAATAATGGCATACATAATGATGACAGACCTGTTTGCTATTGATGAAGCGTGAATGTGGCAGTGTCAAGGGTCACTTAGAGCTTCCAAATGCATCATCATGGGTTTCAGTCTGATTCTGGTCACATTGCCTGGGTCCCTAGGCAATGCACCCATCAGAAAATGTATTAAACCTAATGGTTTTTTATCGACAAAGTGAATGTATGTGTACATATGTATTAAACCTAATGGTTTTTTATCGACAAAGTGAATGTATGTGTACATGAATATAAATTGAGATTAGATCTTACCAGTAGCTTGCTGCCATGGGGGAAGAGATGCTGACGAACCTGTAAATAAAAGATATTAGGATCAATAAAATTAAAAGTGATATGGAAAAGGGTTCCAAGAAATGTTAAGCTTTAAGTTCAATGCAATATTAACATAAAAAAATTTAGATTCCAACCATAAATTCTTATTTTTTTAAGGTGTTAAGTAAAATATTTATTTTACTTACTAGTTGTAGTCTGCCATGATGACGTTGACGGCAACGGAGGAGGAGCATCACTGGACGGTGGAGGAGGGGGAGGCGGCAATAATGGTTGCTGAGTCATGGGACCTTGCAGGGGGTTGGCATGTACTAGGAATATAAAGAAAAAAAAAATTAAATAAATTGATAGCAGCAATATATTTTGTATATATATTGCATGTAGCACTAGGATACTATGTATTATATAAAACATATTAGTAAAAGAATAATTAATGAACATTAAACAAATTTTAAATGAAAAGACATTCTTGAAAGGCTGACAGGGGTAATTTATTATATTGTGTAGTTATTAATATTACTCTGGGTAGCAGGAACAGCAGTTGGAAAAAAACTGAACAGATGAACACAGCATGTATAATAATGTTCAACAGTACTCTCAATTACTTATCTTGTTATCACAAACCTCAATTAGCATTCACCTCCCAAGTTGGTTAAATTAAGATTGAGTGTAGATTAAGGCCAAGTAATATTTCAAGTACATGCATTACATTTCACATTAAACTTTGTTAGGAGAAACAACTTCATTAGCAACACCATATTTCATTCAATTCAATTCAATAAAGAAAATATAAAGAAATATTTACATTATTAAATATATAATCATATATATATCTCTTATACACATCTAGATGTGTATAAGAGACAGATGCTGGAATGTCAAATTTTTGGAAATCTATTTTATTGTACTAAACTAACCTTCATATATCTATACATCACGCTATCCTGTTATTTTTCCCTTTTCAATGTTATAAACCAACAATTTTTAACGACTTGGTGATGGTTTCTGCTTGAGAAATGCAGGAAATTATAAACTTTGAAGGCTGATTTCTCAAATACTGTTTAAACAGCTCTATGTTTAAATGACTGTAACTTCTTAAGGAAATGTCGGACTTAAATGATTCTTTTACCATTTTATAGCTCTCATTTTACTGTTGAACAAAGTATTAATAACTTAAAATCAATTTTTGTGATGAGTGACTGGCTTGGCTGGTCTTTGCCACACACACACACACACACACACATATATATTTAATTATTTAAATAAAATAAATATTCATAGAATGTATAAGTTCTTACGAGAGCTCATTCCAGACATAGGTGGTGGGGGCATTGCCCACGGGGGTGGAGGTCCTCCGTTTGAAGGCGGGGGCGGTGGCACCGGCATTGGGTTTCTTGGGGGAGGGGGTTGGACTTGCTGCCGCATCAGTGGAGGCGGTTGATTTTGTTGATGTTGGTTACCCATCATACCCATTGGCTTGTTGTGACCCATCCAAGACTGACGGTATTGTTGCCGCATCTATGAAGAAAAAAGTAGTGAAAAAAGCGCTTAATATATTTATGCAAGAAATTCAATTAGTCGTTGTTACAATGCGGTTTGCCAATCTCAAGGTCAATCAATTCCTCACTGTGCACTTCGCTTTTGTCCAAAGCACTTTAGATGTGTTGCTTTTCTCCACCCTGGAGTAAATGGGTACAAATATGGCAGTAACACTTAAGCATGTGGATTCAATGACCAGGGAAAACAAAGCATTTTGTAACTTAAAGAAAAGTGCTATATAAATACCAAGTAATAAATAAAATAAATAACAAATTTATTAGCTCAAAAAAGGTAGCGTAGCTTATTTCATTTCATTTTATATATTCATTTCATTTATTTTGCTGTGTACAATATATAGAAAGCAGTTGGAAAATACTAAAAATACAAAAAAAAAAGGCTGGTCTCTGATTCTCTACACGGCCGGTGGAATAACCAAAAAGTAAAATAAATTACTGCCGATATGTTTCTCTATGACATGTGGGGAATTAGAAAACAATAAAACACAAAAAAAAAGCAGAATAAATATAAATTTAGATTACAATATAGAAAATAATTAACAATTCAGTTACCATCATCGTAACCATCATTATTAAATTTAGAAATATATATTTATGTTTTCTTTTTTCCATTTTTTAATAGATAAATTGTATATACATTAATAAATTTGGGATAGAATAGAGGATAAGACACCCAGGATACTCAGTATCCAGACATGCCCTTATAATTTGGAACGGTAGTATTCAAAGATATACAACAATTTATACACACCAAATGCAAATTATTTTCACAGAAACCATAAACATTTAAAGATACTGCTTCAAAGACAGAAACAGCTTTAAAGGTTGGTTGGTTTTTTTTTCATTTTTTTGTTTTGTTTATGTTGGTCACATCTTAGATTTTGTTCACAGTGTTATGCTACACTAAACTGATATTTCATTTAGCTTAGCAATGCATAAAAAGGAAATATACTAAAGACATCACTTAAGTGCTTGGAACATTCCACTTACCAATGGGGGTGGCTGGTTTATTTGTTGATTCATCAGTGGGGGAGGCCTGTTATATGGAGGCCTAATTGACGGGGGTGGTGCACTTGGTTTGGATACTGGGGGTGGAGGGCCCTCACCTAGTTCAGCCATCAGTGACATGTACTAGAAAAAAAAAGCAACAATCAAATTACAATTAAAAGAATAATTTGTTGGATTGTAGGTTCAGGCAATATAAACATAAACTAAATAGACTAAATAAAACATAAAAAGTCCACATACATTATGTATATGATTAAGTACTACAATTTTTTATAATGCAAAAAATAGTCTGAATGTTTCTATTGTTTTAATAAAGTAATTGAATCTTGAATTGTAGAAAAAAACAACAATGGAAACACAGTAACCATGGACAGACCAACAGGCCTCTTTTCCACTAGCGAAATCATTTGCCCGAATTGAAAGCGTCACAGTTCTATCAGAATTTTTCACTTCAGCGAAACCAGTAGTTCAAACTGTTTCTACTTTTTGCGAAGCCAAAAAATGCGCAACCAATCAGAGCTCAGGAAGAGAACTAACGCTTTTGATTCACGCGAATAAATTTGGCTAGTGGAAAAAAGGTTTTAGGATTCCATGAGAAAAAAAAACATAATTTGGTTTATTCATTAAATCCTATCTGAATCATAATATATACTACAATGCTGTTGATTAGTAGAACACTAAAATACATTCATACCTCAGAGTCCATCTTTGCCTTGTCAACTGCACTAGGTGGAGGTGGTCCTCCTAGGACTCGATCTCCTGGAATCTTTTCTTTACAGTCGTTAGCAATATGTCCGGACCCTCCGCAAATTGTACAGATAACATTGCTTGTGATGTTCTGTTTCTCTGGACACTGCCAGGTACGATGGTCAGAAGCCCCACAGTTAGAACACCTAACGTAAAAATTATTTTAACAGTGAAAACAGTCCACCTTAAAAAAAAATCTGACATTATTGGTGGATTCAAGGGTGGGGGAGGGAGAGTTAGCCCGGGTCCCCTTTAAATTTTCCAAAATGATTAAAAAAAACTTAAGAAAAAAGAATTATATTGCTTATATTAATATGGCATTTCCGGCCACAATTATAAATTTCACTAGCCCCCAGCATGCTTGAGGCTGAGGTGGTATAGACACACCATCTGTGAAAGTCCTTCCCTGGGCCCCTCCTTCCCCTCTATTTTGAATTTCTGGATCTGCCACTGCACATGGCCCTGCTTCATGGTCCAGTGCACTGGATGCCCTTCAAGGCCAGAGGCACTGTCATTATTTGATTACATCTATTTTTAACATCAATTAGTTGATATTAGCTTGTTTGACAATTGCTATTACATAGTTTACACTATTTTAAAAAGAATACAGATTAAATCCTGGCAGGATTTGAACCCAACACCACGGAATTAGAAGGCATGTACCATGTTAAAACTTCTTGACAGATTAACAGAAAGATAATTGATCATCTTGTAACATTTACCTTACGGCATCTTCATCCCTAAGAGTACCGTTGAGACGAGCCAACTCACGTAGCTGCATTCGCCTCAAATCGTTCTGTCCTTCAGGTGTCTCAATGCCTTGTTTTATTATTTCTTGAATCTGGAATAAATTAATGAAAGATAAGATATAATTGTAATGCAAAAAAAATTAAGGTCGGCCAGGCATCTCAGAAACATTATTGTAAAACTAATGGCACTTTCCGCTAAGGCCCACCCATTGGGTATTGTTCCTAGGGTCAAACAAAAACGTCAGTGTTAAAACATACGTAAACATATGTTCTGATTGGTCAGTTAAGTTTGATTGACACTCTGGAAAGGGTTAATGATATGTTTGAATATATTACTTTTTCCAAAGCTTATATTTATGTTTAAAACATTTAGAATCATATTCCAGAATATAATGCATAGAAAGGTTAATGAATAGCAATGGCATGCATTGGAAACCTATAGCCTATGAAGACTACAAGCAAAGGAAAAAATTAAAGAGAGGAGAGGTTAAGTTTCTTAATGGTACATCTGAATGCCTTGGACTTAAAAGAAGGGGGGGGGGGGAAAACAAGAACTAGGTAGTTTGTTCCATAAAGAAGAGGTGTTGAGGTATGAATGAGGATGATTGTGAAACAGTACGATAGGTGTAAGTTTGAACTGAAAAAATGTGAGTGTTTAGGGCAGCATTTTATCGGGGAAGAATTGCTTTCATTTCATTTGAACAATTACCAAAAGTGTAGCAATAGTACACAGAAAGATCTGTAACATGGCGACGATGGGCAAGAGAATGGAATGACAGAACACAAGTGGATTAAAAAAAATTAATTTTAAAAAATTGAGAGAGCCTTCCAATGGAAAAAAGTACCTACCTTGTCTACAGCTATCTTGACACTCTCCGCATTGTTGGCAGTCACCAGAGCGTGAAGGGGCTCATCCTCACCAGGTAGGGGCTGGCCATCTTTACGACCAACTTTACCCTCCTTCACCGAACCCTTACCACGAATCATGATCTTTGTAGTGGTATCTTTCTCGAGCTGTTTTAGCGTATTTCCTCTGAAACAATATGCAACATCAAAAATTAGGGAAAATATTTAATTTATTATAGTATACATTATTGTTAGTTTGTTTTTCAGGGCGACCATAAAGTAAAGATGTGTTAATTTCTGTCTGCTTATTATTTCAATAATATAACAATAAACAAACCATATACAAAGTAATTGTATTCGACAGCAACATTGATTGTGCCTAATTAATAAGCTGTTGTACAATCTTAAATCATGTGGACTGAGCGAGATAAACAAATACTGACGGTGCTCAAAATAATTGCTTTCCTACTTTGCTTCGTCTGGGAAAACTCGTCTGATCGTCTACACAAAGTTTACTAAGCTGGGTAGGCATAATTTTGTACACAAACGCTAATTGGTTGGCTCGCCCAGTGCATGCAGTGCACATGGTTTTAGTTTGTCTGAGCACAGCTCTGTTGTTTAGAATAGGCATGAAGGGGAATATAGTTAATCTTACAACATTTTTATGTTCTTTAGTTAAATGAAAGATGGAATGTGATGAATTAACACATTAGACACATGGTTTTATTTGAACACTTTATTATGACATCGTAAAGTCATTAACAAAAACACTAAACACATGGATATATTCGTAGGCCTAGGCCTACAGTTGTAGCCTAGGTAACACCGTTCGTCCATGTTTATTGAGTGCTACATATGTATTAGGTCAAAGGTCACCACAAATTTAACCCAACCTTAATTTTTACGAATCCCCTGATTCATGTATGCCTCCGGTCCCGTACTGTACGTAAAATCGAGGTTCTACTGTAGTTCCCAAAAACACTAGTTTCAGATTCACTTTTGGATAATGAATTAGCATATAGGATTATTCTTTAAACTGTAATTTTTACATTAAATATATTGCATTTTTCCTAAATAAAATTGCAGGAAGCCTGTTATTTATAACTATAAAACTATACTTGCTGCTTATTTACCTTGGTCCAATAAGGAGTCCCACAAAGTTGATGTCTGGATGTTGATCTTGTGGAATCATGACCCGATCACTGACACGCTGGACAGGTGGCCTAGAAAAACACAATTAAAACCACTGTAAAAAACTTTTATTATATTATATTTATTTCTTCTTTACAGTACCCTGGGTGACCTAATCAGTGCATAAAAGCATTGTTATCCTCCAGAGCCCAGAAAGGGATTATGCTTCTCCACATCAAGAATATCACTTGATTTATCATGTAATTGAATATTGCGCAATAATTTGAAACAAAATGTGTAGTGAAGAGAATATTAGTAGAAGAGAGTATAGTAACTTTATCAAATAGCTTAGTTGATAGCTTAAATGGTAACTAGAAGGCCTTGGAGATATGAATCTGATGGCAAAAATAATATTATCCCAAGTTATCTATTCTCTGACTGATTCAATGACAACCACTTCTTCTGTCGATTCAGAATGGTTAAGAACTTTATTATTATTATATTATTGAATATACTATCATCTACATCTAGACATGTTGATAGGAAAACCAACAAAATCGAGCAGTGACTCCATACAGTGCACACATCTGCCCTCTGCCTGGATACTGAACAACTCACAGGCTGTGTATGAGCGATTAGATTATTTTCTTTTATGCTCGAGGTTAAGTTCAAGGGGAAAAAATTGAATTTTTGTGACCTAAACCTTGTCCTTTGAACTTTTATTCCCAAAAGTTAATCATCTCTTTGATGATCTGTTAGTTTTTGCATATTCTTGCTAACAACTAGATGGGGGTGAATACATACTTGGTGAAGGCATGGTGGAGTTAATTCACATATGTAAACATGGTCTTACTTATAGTCAGCTGGTGGTTTGTACTCCGGATTCAACAAAAAGGCATCCTGAATCAATATATGTCTTTCTTCCTCAAGTTTCTTACGCATTCTGTATTCTCTTGTGTTCAGTCGCTTTCCCTCATTATTATAAATTGGCTCAGGGGATGGTGATCTAAAAAAAAAAAACCAATTTTACACATTACTACATTTCAAGAAGAATACAATGAACATTAAAAAAACAATGGTGAAATATAACTTTTATATGTGTTTGGAATCAAAATGTTTGCCATTGTCAAATTATGAACTTCTAATAATATAGATTAACTAAAAACTACAGCTTTAAACCTCAGTGCAGCAGAAATACAATAAAGTTGTTATATGTATATGATTACCGGTAATATACAAGGCACCAGTATATTATACTCAACTGTATATTCTATGACAACCTAAGATAATAGTACCTTAAGTACCAAAAAAAAAAACACTACCAAGACAATACTATACATTAATATAACCATTTTCATAGTGTACTTATTTTATATGTAAAATATAAAAAAACATTATACTATCATTTATTGGTGGCTCACATTTAATCCGTCAATGCTAGATTAAAATGAGCTCTCTGTAATTAACATATTCCATGAACATGGTCATGTGACACTTACTGGGTAATAAATATAAACGCTGCATTGAAATTGTAGAGTACATGAGCAATAGCATGGCGGCCATTTAATATCATTGATGAAAAGATTATTGGGGGGGGGGGTATATGTAACATGCTGTTAGGTTACGTATCGCACTTGTTAATGTTCCATAAGTCACCAGAGAGAACTTTGGTGACTGGTTCAGAATAGGGAAACCAATACAAACTTTTGACATATTTCAAAGAAATGACTATTGGTTTCTAAATTAAATGTTTCAATGATTTTTCATCTGATTAAATGGAATGTATTTTGTTTGATTACATTGGCCACCTAATAATCGTCACATGACCCAAACTTCATTGAGTAACATTCGGTACACCGGTTGTCAGGCATGTATTCTTTACAGATCTAATTACATGCTTGGTATCTGAATGTACTGTGTGCCAATATCACATTGTAATAATGGACAGGCAATTTTCAATCATTTTAGTTACACAGTGCAGTTTCCAAACCAATGCACACATCGATGTTTTTGTTTTAGTAGGTGACAACCTCTTAATTTCCTCCCTTGAATAAAACTTTAAATTCTTGTACATTTATTCTTTTCAAAATCATTGTAAATAAAAATTAATATTTTGTCTATTAATTTGTCTATACAAAATTTGATGAAAATAATGTCATTACTCAATTATTAAATTAAATCATCATTTTAAGCATACTGGTAGTTTGTATGCTAATGTAGCTTCCAGTGCGTCCACCTGTAAATACCTTTAAACAAACTCAAATTACTGATTATAACCACTATATAAACTATTAATATTACTGTATTTTTTCCTTTGGGGTTTATTATTTATCAGACAGCTCCACTATTGTACATGTTGTAGACGAATTGGTTACTAGAGAGCTTCACTGAATCATCCCACATTTGAAATTTGTATTTAAACATGTTGTTGATTCACCATCTATCGACACAATCAAGGACAAGGTATCTGATATTCACATCCGTTAATTTTCTCAAGTGAACATAATTGACCATCAACACTGTGCGAATATACTCATACGAGGTTTATGCACATAATAGGATGATGACGATGTTGAACATATGCTTAAATATATGTACAGTACATAAAATTCAGCATATATTTTAAGGGATATTTAAATATGGTTATCCAAACTTTAAAAAATACATTACCAAAGGTAACCACAAATATCCATTAACATAAATAATGAACATTCTCTATTTGGGTTTGTGTTAAACAGTGCATTTCATTGGTTACTAGAAGACAGATCCACTGAATAATCGACAAACACCACATTGTTAATTCATATTCAAACATATGTCAGCATACCTGCAATACATTCAAGTACTGTATCATAAATTTCAGCTTATAAAAAAAAAAAAAAACTACTCATGATCAAACTAAAAAAAAAATATATTCAGATGGCCCCATCCAAAACACTAAATCTGAATAAATAATGCAAAATACCGTACGGTACTATTTTAATGCTGTACTGTACAGTATTTGCAATTTTACTGGGCTTGCAACTAAATCATCCATCATTCTATTAGCTGTCTTGTAACTTGTCGTTTCACACAGATGTACAAACGCATTCCTTGGCAGTTTATTGTATACATTTTGTCCATAATAAATATTGTTTGCAATGACAAGGTTATGCTTTCATCAATTGCCGAACCATTTAAAGGTACAATAGACTACAGCATACTCATCACTTATCATCATCCCTATTGAGTCACAAATAAGATAAGCATCCATTCATTGCGTTTCAATAATTAATAAAAACACTGAGCTTAAATCTGAAAATCGAAATTAGATCATCACTTAAAACACTGTAGCATTGTAATTATTGCTAATAACACGCATACTGTGCAAAAAACAGCTGGAAACGAACAAGTACTAATATTTTGGCAACCATAGTACATAACAAAGTTGTGTGTGAAAAATACAGCATATTGAAAACAAAAAAAATCACATATTTAGGCAAATATTACAACAAAATTACCTTTGAAAATAACAATAAATAAACAAAATAGAAATTACTATTATTGCTCATATAAGTTAATAACAATTTCAAACTACATTCGATTAATTAATATAATATTTGGTCAATTAAATCATAATATGTTATACACCTGGCTCACCCGTTGGTAAATCTGTCAGGGTAAAAATAGTTAGCATCATTTTTTAAGCCAGAGACAGCTGGCCCAAGGATACCATTTCGGGCGCCTAAAGGTGATACATAAATTAGAATGAAGGACCATTTTCTAGGAAATGCTGAAGTCACCAATGATGACGGGGAACGTAAATAATCCGCGCCGCAGGTTTCTAGGTGCATTACAAAATGTTGATTAACGCCATTTAATACACCATGTCAATGCATTTCTTTGTTTTCAATAACTTTTAAGTCGGCATCCTACTGTCTATACTGTCTTTGCATTAGTAATTCTGGCCATCAAATGATTACATGTTATGTTATTGCTATTTTAGAACAAAAAATTACAATGCTATAATGTTTGATGTTGGGTTTATTCAGTCTAGTCATTAATATTAGTCGTTAACGTAACAGCTGAAATACCAAATCCTAAGTACATACACCTGCAACTCTCTCTGGCAATCTTGCAGTGCATAGAGTATCATAAATACAGACCAGTAAAATAACTGATGATTTTACTGATTGTTACAATTCTGCAACTGTATACATGTTGAAAGTATAATCATTCTAAGCTGAATGACTAACTGGTATCGCACACTGTAGAATTCATCATCGCTGGTTTAATCTTGGCACCTTCAGCGATTAAAACATACGAGAACACTAACAAATATTAAGCTCATAGAAGATTACATAAACAGAAAGACAAGTATAACAATATATTGTTATTTAAATGAATATTGTAATTATATCATCAGTAACGATTACTAATGATAATCATAAGACTAACAATAATTATAAAATGTATGAATAAAAATAGAAAAAAACATTCTCAATCTATTACCTATCTAGCTGCTTAAAAAATAAATAAAAAAGTTATGGCAAACAATTATGAGAAACTGAGAACACTTCAATACATGAAGCACAATATACTACCATTAACCTGATAATAATCATAAAGACGCTTTAATACAATTATAATAGGGAGCATTTGTTTGTACGACAACCATAGGAAACAGAACGTAATGACTTTACTAAGAAGTCACCTACACAAGTAAGAAGGTTGCCGAGTTGTCTTTGTCGTCTGGATCCTAGGACACAGTTTGGCCTGAATATATGTTGTGCAGAGAATGTAGGATGGTCACGGATGAGTGAATCTTGGTCTAGCGTTACATCCTCGCGCAAACCGAAAGCTCCCTTAAGCCTGTTTTCAACTAGGCGAATTTATTCACGCAAATTCGGTTCACATTCACATTGCTGTCAGAATTTTTCACTTAAGCGAAATCAGTAATTCAAACTTTTTGCAAAGTGAAAAAATGTGCAACCAATCAGAGCTCAGAAAGCAAACTAACGATTTTGATGCGCCCAAATAAATTTCTCCTAGTGGAAAACAGGCCTTATAACTCTGGCAAAGGCTGAACCGAGGGTTCAGTCAAAGCTGAAATTATAAGCCCATGAAATGCTACTGTACCTATGTGTATATAAGCCCACCTGTGAGTGAGTGCAGATTCGAATACCTACAGGTATAAGCTGCCCATCTGTTGATTTAAAGCCAGGCTCCACAAGAAAAAAAAATTATATGTTGTACAACTGATTTATTTAACACACAAAATGATATAAAACTTGGGAAATTGGTTAATAAGATACAGATTTTTTGATATTTAAAAACTGGGAGGGGAAGGGGGAAAAGGAGCGTAACCATCCCTTTTCCATCTTTTTCCCCCTTTTGTGTCTTAGAAAAAACAGTTGTACACCAAAAAATTTTTTTCCTCCAGAGCCTGGTTTCAAATTACGGATCACTTTGATTCAAGGAATTCAATTCAATAAAACTGTACATTTAAAAGAGCTACATAGACTATGGTACACTGATAATATGTACAGGTACTTTTAATGAATATAGAAAGAGGTAAAGGTATTTATACTATAATTTGAATCAACACCTTGTAGCATTTACCCTGCTGCACCAATGCATTTAAGGTATATCGTCTGATTCAGGAAGATGAAATACAAAAAAAAACTGATGCATATCATAATCGGACACAAGAAAATGTGATTAAGACAAAACCAACTGCCTATCGAAAAGCTGATTCCAGCAGGAAAGCTTAAAGGGTGGGTGAGTAAATAAATCGTATATAGAGAATTTAATGATAAACAGAATATCACATTACAGACAACAGACCACTCATCAAGAAGTGGGTGCCATCGGACCTGTGAAGAATTAGAGGTGGAGCTCTGTGAACTATGCTTTATCTGTGTTAAGATGGCTCCAGAACTCATTGTTTCCAGAATGGTGACATTAGTTATTGTACATCTCTTTTTGTAAATCAGCATTTAATCAAACGATAACAATCACAAAATTATTTATAGCATTGAATTAGCAATCATAGCAAAATATGCTGACAAACTGACCAACATATTAGTCAGTACATAACAACTTTAATGCAATAGAAAAGATTATTTAAAAAGGTATAATCAATATATTCGTACATCATTGCTGGTATACAAAATGGGGTTTTAAATATCAAAATTGTTCAATAAATAAAACAAATTATTTTAAATATCAACAAAAAATATATAAATTGTTTGAAGGTTTGCATGGCAAAGTAACAGGAATATTAATAGATGCTTGCGCTACACAGTTATTCCTATTCATTCAATTTAATTTTAAAGTTTTTTTTTCAATTGCATTGATTCAAAGTAATGTCAGTATAATTGTTTCCCTCCCATTAAAAGTTTAATGCATTGCTGTCAAAATAATATAGGTATCAAAAACGAAGCAAAACTTATATTAATAAAAATTGATTGGTCAAAAAATTTTGAGAATAAAAATGAGTTACTGGTGATGTCGGTGAAGCGTTGCTTCGACCTGCACAATTGGAATCCCAAGTAGCACACGTAAAAAAAATGGAAAAGAAAAACTTGTTAAAAGTTTGGTTAATAACAAACCTATCCTCGGGGTTGGCTGGGATTCCTAGGTCTCCGGTTCGTAGTTTACGGCTGTATTCCTCGATCTGGATGTGCACTGGGGAAAAAGTCGAGTTAGAAAGGAAAAAAACATGTTGTTAGAAATGATAATATCTATAGTTAAATGACTGATGGTCCAAACATTAGGAATACCCAATCTACTGTTGTTATCATAAAGACATTATTCTACGTAAATAACAAAGAGTAGTAATTATATGAAATAGTAGTATTATAGTTTATAATTTTAATTTTTTTAAGTTCATGTTTTATATATTTAAATAAATCTAAATGAATCAGATGAATTGATAACATTATAATCTTATAAATGCATCAATAATATTCACAGTAATTAGAAAAATAAAGACTGAGTGAGAAGCTAGAGAAACAAAATGATTATTTTTGTAATTTTCTATACATATACAGTATTCACCAACACATACCTACTTACTCAACACTTACACACAACTACAGTAGGGAAAATGTCAATTTCATTAATATACTTACCAGTACATACTGTAAGCAGATGGAAATCAACAAACAATGTTTGACAGAAACAATGTCTAAGCATGTTGATAATTACTTATTATGTATTAGAAAAAAAATTGATGGAGAAATCATGATAAAATTGGAATAATGATGAAAACAATGTTTAAATGATTTTCTCGTCAGAAAAAGAAAAAAGGTTTTACTTTTTATGTATTCTTATACACAACGTAAGGGATAAGATTGTTTAGAGATGTTACAATAAAGAACTCTAATTAATTACACTTAAAAAAAAATTTGTTAGAAATATCCTGTTAAAAGAATTTTACAATAATTGACAATGTCTCAGATACAAAATAATACCTATGTAACTTACAGAGTACTTGCTGTTCCTGGTCCTTAGTCAAGTTGGGTGGCAATGCCGATGAAAGATTGGTTTTGGAATCTTCGCCTCCCCATCGACTGCGACGTTTCTTTTTCGATTCAGGTTGCCATCCTCGATTTTGATCACCTAAAATGATTAATTTTCTAAAATTATACAAATAAATTTAAAATATGTATGCCAAAGACTACGTTGTTTGAGATCAGGTGCGATTCATGGACCATGTGGCCATTCCGTGGCAAAACAATGTAATTTGAAATTTTCACTTTTCAAAAAAAACAGAGTTAAAGTTTGCATGTTTGCAACTTGGCAATATATTGTTGTACCCTTCTGAAATTTGCATGACTATATATCTATAGACATTATGATTATATGTCAAATTTTATTTACAAACAGTGGTTTATTGCAAAGTTATTAATGACACTTGTAGATACCTTGTTTTACCTCGGAAACATGTCAGGCGCAGTATTGTCGCAAGTGTGACAAATTTTCGAATTTATCACGTCTGGGACAATCATATGCATTATCTAGCTTGTGCATACGTCGTTGATATGAAAACCCCAACAACAAGTTGATTTTGGTGCGCCAAACTCAATCAGCTCAAAATAATTTTTGAATTCCAAAGCATAACAGGGTATCTTCCTCGTAGATACGTTGTTTTGCCACGTAATCTGAGTAGTTGCGTTGTTTTACCACAGAAAATCACTAGAGGCAAAACAACGTATTTTCATTGTATACGTTAAGCCGCATAATCTGGTAGTTACGTAGTTTTATTTACCACGGAAAATCACTAGATTTTGAGTTTAAAGATAGGTGGTGCTATCTCCGAGGCCACTAATTGTTGAGACCTGAAATCTTCACAGGTAAATGATATTATCTCAAAATCCACAAAAATGTCAGTTACGTTGTTTTGCCTCGGGACTGTAGCGTGGGTGTGCAGCGGAGGTTGAATAGGACGGCAATAATACGGTTTCGCATCCATTAACTTAATTAGAAAACATAATTATTTTATAAGTGAAGTGGATTATTGGAAAGTCAAATCATCAAGTAACGTATTATTAGTATTGAATAATTGTAAGTGTTAAATAATTAGTAAATAATTTTACGGCCGGATGCGAAACCGCATTAGCAGCGAATAGGGCTAGGGCCTAGCCTTGTCTTTCCAAATGAGTTATTGATTGGAAGTTAGGCTAGGCCTAGCCTAGGCCAGCAGGGTCCGGCCAGCAATACCATTCATTAATATTAGGCTTTACTTACTAGGCCTAGCCGCCCTAGGTTAAAATATTATTTAAGAATAAGATATTCGACCTCGGCTAGCCTATTATTGCTACATACCCGCGGTCCATGGATTGTATCTGATCCGTTGTTTTTACCACCCTAAAAATAAACTGAATCATGAAGATGAATTGATTCACCAGGCCTACCTGACGAGCCAACGCCTGAGCTGCCCCCGCCGCCTGTGCTGACCGACTGTGCAAACACGCCTCGTTTCTGTGCGATTCTAGCAGCAGCCTCTCGAGCTGCATTTAACATCGATTCTTGAGGCCTAACAGCCCTTTGATTTCCCTGAAAGACAGGGTGAAGATTCCCTAAAGGAACACTGTTTGCTCCAGTTCCTGCCATGATAACAGGAAAGAAGTTGGTACAATTTAAAAACGGCTAAACTAGTAGCAAGTTCACAACACCGCTTTCTGTAGGTAAAAATGGCGGACGTAAAGGAAATATACACGCGCCTGATTAATAATATTGAGGGCGTGCTTCAAACTAGGCTCCCAGAGAGCCAAAGATACTAGTGAGAAACCTAATGTCCAAAAAAACAGGTTTGCAAGATAGGCTTGCCCAAAGCAATTTTATTGCATTTTCCGGATATTTTGAGTATACTGAATCCAAAAATGCAAAGGTCCATTTTTTCCGAGATTGTCTTGGCGGCCATTTTGGAATTTCAAAATGGCCGCCATTTATACAATAAAAATAACCATAACTGCGCTATTAGAGTAGGTATCGACATGATTTTGGTACCAAACCCTATTTTCTCAATGTCAACCTGTCCAATGGTGATATTCTCACAAACCGTAAATGGCAGCCATCTTGAATTTCAAAATGGCTGCCAGTTTGAAAGTAAAATAGCAATAACTGTGCTATTAGAGTAGGTATCAACTTGATTCTGGTAGCAAACCATAGGTTTTCAATGTCAACATGTCTAATGGTCATATTCTCACGAATCATAAATGGCAGCCATCTTGAATTTCAAAATGGCTGCCACTTTCACAGTAATAAAAAAGCATAACTGTGCCATTAGAGCAGGTAAACATGATTTAGGTAGCCAAACCCTGTGTTTTCAATGTCAAGCTGTCGAATGGTGATATACACATGGATCAAGAATGGTGGCCATTCACATTCACAAACTGCTTAGATTTTTGCGAAGTAATGTCAATAATTGATTGCAAAACCCAAGTTTTAATTGCAACCTATCAACAAATTAACCTGTCTAATGGTTATATTCCAAGTGGAACCATACCTTTCTTGGACCATGAAGACAGAAAGACAACACATGTGAAGTACCAAAGAGAAATCCAAAAGGGGCTTTGTCATGATTCTGTATGTCAGTGGTCTATCGGAAAAGATTAGATCGAATGAGCACACACAACTTATAAAAATAAGTTGAGAGAACTAGTGCATCCGAAAAACAAGATTTTATGAGCAAACACTCGACCTTAGAGTTATTATGTGGTCATTGCGACCAATAGTAAAAGGTTTGGCCGCATAGGTGAACATGAAATGAGGTTGAAAAACATAAATAAATGGGTACGAACTAGAGCCAACATGGGTTCGTCTTAGTGAGACATGCAAAAAGCAGCAATCACTGGACATACAGTATGGTCACACACAACCACATCCCAGATTGGAAATACTACAAGTTACAAGGGGAACTGATGTCGGCAGTAGATGAATAAGGATCTAAATGGTTCAGAAGTAAAGACAATAATATTAACAGAGTCGAGGGAGTACACCAATTGTCTCATGTGTAGGAACAATTTTTGTTTGACTCACAACAAGACCCAGGGACTCCTGCTTACATCAGACCAGGAGAGGTTTGCCGACACAATACCACCAGTCGGCAAGCTGGAGATAGATATGCAGATTTCTACACGTTAGTTTGAGAATGGTAACTGAGTGAGAAAAAAACTGTCATACGTATGTTTTTTTAAGTCTCAACTATCTAAGAACTTTAGCGTTAATGACTATAT